CTATAATAAGCCAATCATGGCATGAATCAATAAAGCCTACTGCGGCGTGCAACCCGATCCCATAAATATCACTCACAAACAGGCCTTCGGCCTCACTCAGTCATCAATCTCTCTAGTCTCTCAGGCTCACAATGTCATAAAAATCAGCCCAAAAATGATGACACGACGTATCAATAATAGCAATAGAGACTGAGATATGATATGCAATTGAATGAGTATGAGTGAGTATGTAACTGTAATTTAAGCAAATAACTCCACAATAGCTATGACCTCAGTGGGTCCCAACAGAATAAGCATATATTATAAATATGATTTCTAACATAGATCACAACTCAATTACTCTAACACATAGAAATCTCATGGATAAAAATAAGATTAGGTAACTACACAATACCACAGAAACAACCAAGTCATAATTAATACGGTGCATGCCCACACGCCCGTCACCTAGCATATGCATCACCTAAACACCAAACACATATCACATATATTCAGGGGTTCATACCCTCAGCACCAAGTTTAGAAGTGTTACTTACCTCGAACAAGCCAAATCCAATACCGAGCAAGTTAAACGATGCTCCAAAAATGTCATCCCGCGCGTACCGACTCCAAACAACACAAAACTAGCCATAAGCAATTCAAGAACATCAAATAATATCCAAAGAAAACAAACCCAATCGATAAAGGTGAAATCTTTAATCAAAATCCAAAGTCAATCAAAAAGTCAAATCCGGGTCCCGCACCTCAGAACCTAACAAAGCTTATAAAATCCGACAACCCATTCAATTACGAGTCCAACCATACTAGTTTCACGCAAATCTGACTTCGAATCGATATCAAAACTCAAAAATTCACTCTATGAAACTTTAGACAAAACCCCCAAATTTTTCTTTTGAAATCATCAACCAATTGCCAAAAATACAGATAGATTCATGAATTATAATCAAAACCGAGTAGTGAACACTTACCCCGATCCTTATGGTAAAAATCGCACGCTCCAATCCGAGCTCCATAGCTCTAAATATGTTAAAATAAACTCAAAATCCCAAAAATTAATATTTTATTGCAGTGCTAGGTGTCCTTCTTCGCGATCGCGATTCAAAAAACTTCTAGCTCAATTTTTACCCTTCGCGATCATGAACATTCTCCCGCGATCGCGATGAACAAACTCCAACTAGCTTGCCCAACTCTTCCAGACAGTATCTAGTATAATAGCCATAACTTTTTGTACAAAACTCCAAATGATAAATAATTTAATTTTCTGAAAACTAGACATCAACGACTACAACTTTTGTTTTTAGATCATTTCTAAATTCCTTATAGATTGCAAGATATAAGCTTCCAAAATTGGCTCAGTAACAACATAAATTCTTCTTCGCTATCGCGGTGCACACTGCTATAGCAAAAAAACTAACAACTAAAAATGGCGTATAAATGGTCCGAAACTACCCTAGAACTCACTCGAGCCCCTCGGGACCCCATCTGAACAAGCCAACAAGTCCCATAACATAACACGAACCTACTCGAGGCCTCAAATCACACATAACAATATCGAAACGATGAATCGCACCTCAAATCAAATTTAATGAACTTTGAACTTTCAACTTCCAAAACTCGTACCGAAATATATCAAATCAACCCGGAATGAACTCAAATTTTGCGCACAAGTCCCAAATGACATAACGAAGCTATTCCAATTCCCAGAACCACAATCCAAATACGATATCCTCAAAGTCAACTCTAAGTCAAACTTATGAACTTTTCAAAATTTTAAATTTCCAACTTTCACCAATCAGCGCCGAAACCTTCTAGAAATATTCAAATGCAAATACGGGAATACACTCGAGTCCAAAATCACCATCCGGACCTAACGAAACCATCTAAACTCCAATCTGAGGCCAAATACTAAAAAGTCAAACTTGGTCAGCTCTTCCAACTTAAAGCTTCCTAGTTGAGAATCATTCTTCCAAATCAATTGCGAATCACCTGAAAACCAAAACTGACGATTCACACAAGTCATAATACATCATAGATCTGCTCAAGACTTCAAATAGATGAACGGAATACAAATACTCAAAACAACCGTCTGAGTCGTTACACATGTTGGCTTATGCAGAGTTCTATGGTCAATCTAGCAACAATATGGCTAAGTCTAGAGCGTTGCTACAAGGGTTGAAGATATGCATCGATAGGGGTTTTTTATTTTTGATTGTGGAATCTGATTCCATGTTGATTATTAACATGATTAACAGCAAAATAAAGGTACCTTAGCAAATTAGACATATTGTGGATCAGATTATTCTTTTCTCTATCAAATACAATTTTGTTTTTGTCCATACTTATATAGAATATAATATAGTTGTTGATCAATCGGCAAAATTCGGAGTAAGGAGCACAATGCATGTGACAATCGATGATCCTAGTTCTCTACCGAATTTGATGAAATCAATATTGAAATTGGATCGAGATAACATTCAAATCAAGGAAAAACTATTTTGTTATTAATGATGGATACATTAGATAGGTATGTACACTATAAACAGGGGCGAAGCTATCTGTAACCAAGGGTGGTCAACTGACCACCCTTCGCCGGAAAATTATACTCCGTATAAGGTAAAATATTACTTGTTATTAATTAAAAATAGGCTTTGAACACCCTTACATAGCTCACTGACAAAGGTTTGAACACCTTTGTTGAATTTTTTGACTTCGCCACTGACTATAAAGTGTGACTAACTTTTTGTCATCACAATATAGATATAAAATATACATAAGGATATTTAATATCATTCTTTATAAGGTTCTGACGGCTATGGTATATCTTATTAGTTCGGTGCACCACTTAGACATCTGTATAAGAAGTAGTATATGCTCCTTCGTTATACAATTGAAATAGTAAAGTGCCGAACTAAATACATATAAGAGATTTTTACATGGAAAACCTCCTTGTTCAAGGGAGTAAAAATCACGACCCACCTCTGGAATTTCTCACAAAACTTCACTAATACAACGAGATTACAAAACTCTTATAACCTAAGAGACTAAATCCTAACCACTTGACTGCCTACAACCACTCTGATTATAGCAAAACGCCCGAGCTAACTCTAGCCTAAGACTTGAATTCTCTCATAGAGAAAAACCTCTCGAAATGCTTTTTGTATAAGCAAATAAGATTATAGCTCAATAAGCCTAGTACAATGAACTAGACTAGACACAATGAGTTTGACACTATATCAAAGAACATGTTCTCTAGTCTGGTTCTTCTGCATATTCCATCATTCAATATCCACTTCAGAATTTTGAACTCGATTTTCTTACTTTTCTCTCAAATTACTCTTGAAGAAATAATAGAAGTGCATATCTGCAATGAAGTAAACTTGGACTACATCTAGGTAACACTTTAGTAGCATTAAGAGTCCAAATTATAAAAGAAAATAAATAATAGGAAACGTAAGAACTTATCATATATGACCACACAATTCTTATTTGTTCCCTACTCTAATTATAATTCTTTACCATCAAGAAACCTATATAATTTTCATCAATTTCGTGCAGAATATAACCCTTAGAGATATCCTAACCTTAGAGAATAAAAGAAGTATAAGGAAAATATATTTCTTTCCGTAAAAAGACTCTGATTATGATTCTACTTGCTCACAAACTTGGTCTCTAAGTCAACAATTAAGATTTATCAAGATTCTTTATTATTTGAATCAAAATCAAAATTCACCAATTTCCTGTATTATTTGATAATATATCAGTTGAGGTCGTGATACGACCCTTCACACCAACCAGAGATAGCCTTTTGCTTTAAAGAAAAGTTTTAGGAGACTGCTGATAGTATTGATTTGGTTAGCTGAATAAAAAATGCATGCGCTGAATGCCGCTTTTAAACTAAAAATACACTCGCTTGTCTCCATTAAATTTTGATTCTCTCTTTTGTTTTCTATTTGATGTCAATGATTTTAACGTCTTGATATATATATATATATATATATATATATACACAAACGTTATTGATAGACAACACGTGAGCTTGAACTTAAAAGGATTTCATATCGACTTACTTTATAAGCTTCTGTAAAATTTGTTTAATCACTGTATTCCGTAACCAAAAAGTTGGTTAAACATTCATTCTCTTGTGATTTATAGTCAAGGGTTATTTTATATCATGTTTTATTTTATACTAAATATTGTTAACTATTAACATTTCTTTTTAATTGACCTCCTATGTTTTCTTTTATGTGAGTTTTTTTCGTTTAACCATTCCATGTGAGTTTTCAACTAATTTCAATATTTGAACCCTATTAACACAACTAATTTCGATTAATAAGCTTTTACTAAGAGAGCTCATTATTGCTACTAATTCCTGTTTGGTTTGTAAAAGGTTTCTATTCTAGGGACTTACAACTCCAAATATTTGATTAAGGGTTGGTTGATTGTAGTATTGTAGCAATTAATGCTAAATAACAACAACATCAACGATTACGTAAATTTTATCCTTATCTCATGAAGGTAGATATATTATTTTTGATAGACTCTCGATTCAATAAAAGCATAGTCCCAACATAATTGAACATAAATACAATAATGGGAAACTCATGGAAAAAGAAGCACTAACAACATCATGATAATAAGAAAACCGAAGCAAAATGGACAACATACAGTAAATGTAAGAAAATTCGTGAATAATAACAATAGTACAAGTATGAAAAGGAAAATCTTGACTATGTACTGATCTTCTACCCTAATTATTGAATTCATATTCTACTATCAAGGATCATGTAGTTGCAGACGTGTCGTGTCTTGTTTATCACCTCTCCCCGATAACTTACCTTTAGCTCTCCTCGGGCCCACCATGGCCAACATAAATTTGGTATAAAATAATATCATATTTGGTTGGATGTATAAGAAAAAATGATAGAGTTAAAAAAATACTGTATTAAATTATATGTGAAACTATGAATTATTTTACCCAAAATAGAATATGAGTAAAGAATAAAGTATTAGCGATTTAAAGACGAAGTTTCAAAGCCATCTCTTCCTTTTGATCATTTCCTTTTCGGCCTTCTCTTACGACTGTATATATGTATGTCCGTCACTCCGCTTGAAGCTTAAAACCAATGGCAATAACTCAAAACCCTTCCCAAACGCAGAATATGATCTTCGATTGCTCATCAATGGAGAATCCAAACACGGGAGATGAATCTGCTTATTATTTCAAAATATGCCGGTTTTTGAGTTTTGGCAATTCAGGTAATTACAGCTCGGCATATTTTAGATTTTTGTGGTATTACAATAAATGTTAAAGATTTCAGATTACGGTAATCTTGACCATTTTTTATTTTTCTTAAATACTTATGAAATGCCTCCTCTGAAAAATTTCTAACCAGTATCAAGAAATTTTTAGATTCATTGTAAGGTTCAAATCCCAGGTGTGCAAAATCATCTCTTTGCCCAGCATCTATAAGATTTCTTCTCATTTTTTTTTTGATTATATGTGTGTGTGTGTCTCCCTTTTGGTTGTATAAATAAGTGACACAGCTTATCACTCCAGTTGATACACTCAGAATTATGCTGAATTATGCTTTGTGAATTTTTTTTAATGCAAAATGTGCTTAACATCGTTTGTGTTTATGAAAGTTAGTATGTAGAGATATGATTGGTTCTTTGAAGGGCATAGTAAGGATTTTTTCTTTTGATTTCTTGGTATGGATAAATTTCTTCTCATCTGTCCAAGCCTGGTGGATAGAGTTACACAGTTCATGTACTGGTGGGAGTTACCAAGTACTTGGTGGAATAGCCGAGGTGTGCACAAGCTGACCCAGACCACCGTTGCGAAAAGAAAAAAGAAATCTTGGCATGTTTATAAATATAATCTATCCCTTCCATGTTCCTTAATTTTAAATGGTTAGGATTGTGTTGTCAAGGAATTAGGATATTTCCATTTTGATCTATGTAAACATAATCCATACAAATGAACAACATTGTACTATTTCGCTATGTGTAAAATTAATACTACAGTAGATACAAGAGAATGTATGATCAATTTCAGAATGATTGATTTATCTAGTGGTTTTAGGGGTAGATTCTTAAGAGACGAAGTGATACTCACCTGTTTGAGTATCATGAGATTCATCTTGTTGAGTTTTCTACACTTTATTTAGAGAGGAAAGAGATATGAATGGTTCTCAGAAGGGAAATATAGGATCTTGTAAAGCTTTCCTTTTGAATTCTTGTCATGGATATAATTTGTCGTTACGTTCGTTAGTTTTAAGCGGTTAGATTGTGTTGTAAGGGAACCCGGATTTTTTCCTTTTCCATTTATGTAAAATGTTCTGTTTAAAATGGCACAATCATTTTCTATTCAAGATGAGAGAAAAAGCTTTTCAGGTATTACATAGAATTATGCTCCTACATCTGTAAATGTATTGCGTTCATCTTTCCTGTTACCCTGGCATGCTATCCCTATTACGGATTATTTTGGGCCTTGTGAAACACATCGGTCTAGCAGCTTGTAATTCCAAATTTTAGCAACTATTTCCCCCAAATGAGATTGTAAGGTTAACTTCTTAATTACTATTTTCATAGTATCAAATTTTGGAATTGTGTCCTCTCGAACTTCTATTCTTTAAAAGAAAAGTTTTCTCCATAAGATTTTTAATGCTTCTTTAATATTTGATTGATATTTGATTGTTAACAAGGCACTGTTAACCCGGTTTTGTATTAAACAAGTTCACAATCTTTAAAAACTTACTTGATCATTATTTTTTCACTAACTTCTATTAATATATAGTGATAATTTAAGCTCTTACTCTAAATTGGTGCCTTGTTAAGTAGGAAACACATAATTTAGGAGGGAGTACTATAATTTATGTAAAACTCATTTATATATTACAATTAAATCTGTACCAATATCATGCAAAAGAAGCCCACTCCTAGTGAGTTTTATTTTTGTTTAAGTAGTGAATTACATTGCCATTCATGTTCCATGAACAAGAGCGTTTGGTACAAATTGTACCTTTTGAAAATCTAAAATTTATATTTATCTTGCTTCAAATTCAAATTATAAGGTTACAGCTGTAGTGAAGGAATCTTAACTCGTATGTGTGATCTATCCATGCAATAGACTTTTAACATTCGCATCTGGTAATGAGGCTTTGGATAGTTGTAGGTGGCATAATGTGACCATTGTTCTAGATAGTTTTATTTATGACTAAAACTTATAAATAGAAAATAAAACTTACTTTTCTCATTTATCTAAGCATTTTTATGGAAGAATTCTGAATAGACAAATTTAGAAATGATCATGTCTGACATAGAGGGCAAGTACAGAAGGTGTAAATGCAAGTAGAGGATAAAATGCGAAAATATCGTTTGAGATGGCTTTGGCTATATTCTTGTTGCGACAATGCAATAATGAGAGGAAGACAAATGAGACTACTAAAACCTAAAATCATATGGATGGAAGTTGTCTCAAAAGACCTACCATTTCAGATTTAGGTAATAACAGAACATAATAGAAGCAAATGATCCGTATAGATGCTATCAACTAGTTAGGGTAAAAGTTTAGTTATAGTAGCCATCAGGAGTTTTTTTTAATGCTTAGAGACTTGTATGTTCTTACAAGGATAGTTTGACATCTAGAGAAACTCTTATTGTGCTTCAATAGTCGAATGATTTGGTATCCGATGGAAGTGGACTTAAATAGAGCAGAATTGATAAGGAGGAATCATATAGACCCAAACTTAGTTGGGATTGAGGTATAGTTGATTGACTACAAAGAATTCTCAACAGATTTTGAAATGCATAGGCATGTAATACCAAAATATTTTGAATTGTGAGAGATCATTAAATGAATAACAGTTGAGTGCTTTGCCCTAATTGACACTAGCACTACTGGAACTCACTTATACGTTGAGCCCCTTTCAAGGCTATGAGAAGAGGAGATTATCGTTTATTATTGTGACGGAGTTGCTATAAAGACTCAAAGATAATAAGATTATCAAACAATATATATTAGCAACATGTGGTTATCAAGAGATTGTGAATTTAGTGTATTGTCTTTATATTATACAAGACAATCTTATTGAAACTTCCACTGTTCCGCATAATCGAAGGGTATAAAATTGTTTACTGAAAGTATACAATGAAAGCACTTCTCTACAATAATTTTTTTTGCTATAAAAGAATCTTAACGACCGTTGAAATGCATAGACCTATAGTGCTAGAAAATCGACAATTGCCAGGATCATTCATTAAAATATCAAATAAGCGCTTTGCCTTTATTAATAGCGTTGACAGTGATACTCGCTTTCCGACATATCAACCCCTTCCAAGATGGGAGAAGTGTTCATTTCTTTCGACTTAGTTATTATAAAGTAGTTTCTTTTTATGAAGCTTCGTATAAAGTAAAATTAAGAACACTGTAACCAGTATAAGAAACCAGCTTATGCTTATCATGAGATTGTCTTAAAGGTTAATTTAGTTCTAACAGTGAGAGAATTTATGAGTTTTGTCTTAATACCACCTTCTGCAAGTTGAAGCCGGGTTAGGACTGAAGTTGAAACATCAACCCCTCTTTGATACTTTCCCCCAAGATAATCAATTTTCTCAACTTCACAATGGTGCCATCTTACACTTCATTTTTTTCTCTTGGAACTTTTACTTCTTTCAGAACTTGAGTAAAAGACTAGTGGATTACCTATTAACCCTTTTGGTTTCTCTTGACAACTTGAACTGGTCCAACTGCCAAGACACTCATATTTCAGTCCTAGACTAACTCGTTAACTCGAGCATATAAGTTTTAAAACTCACATGTGAATCTTACACAGAGATGCTCAACTCTAGTAAGTTTAGAGTACTTTGGAAGTTCCTTACAAAATACCCATATCTTTGACATAACCATTTGACACGAGTATGTCATTGAAAATTAAGAGCTTGGATAACTCACTAGTTTGGGTTTCTGAATTTATCCTTTTACCATCTTTCAATTGTTAGGTCAAGGATCTACTGGAAGTTAAGAAATATAATTAGCATTTATCATAATATGCCTGTCATTATTACATTTTTGTGTTTGAAATTGCTCAATGATTTCAGGATTCCTAGTTGGTGCATCATGTATAGAAATAGTGATGGACCCGTCATGTTTGTACCCAGTGGCGGAGCCACCTTATGTTAAGGGGTGTCAATTGGCACCCCTTCTCCAGAAAATTACACTGCTTATCTAGGAATTATTTTTTTGTTTTTATGCATTTATACTATATGTTGCTCCCCTTATTTTCTTCGTGTATTTTATTTTTTTATATTTTGACACCCCTTAATAAAATTTTCGATATATACTACTGGTGAAATTATCTTGTCAACTTGCTCCTTATTATTTAGCTGTCAGAAATAGCTCTTTATACAAATCTTAACTGTCACTATGCTATTTCCTTAATTAGATCTACCATTTACTTCCTCTTTGGCTGTACCTGGTTGAAAACATTCTAATAAATATGTAGTACCTATATAGTAGATTACATTATGACTATTATCAGATGCCTTTCACCATAGAAATTTTATTAGAAACATCATTTTTGCTTATTGTTCCTCAGGCCTCATCAATTTATATTTTGTATTTCAGATAACTTTGCGGAAACAGCCTCTCTACTCCCTCGGGGTAGAGGTAAGGTCTTCGTACACACTACCCTCCCCAGACCCCACTGATGGGATTTTACTAGGTTGTCGTCGTCGTCGTCGTTGTTGTTGCTGTATTTCAGATAACTTTGGTTGTTTTTCCTCCATGTTCATGTGCACCTTAACATCTCGAAAATTATGTGGTTCGAGTGGTCATTCTGCTTTGGCGTGCCACCTATCCGTTCCTTTTACCAGTCGCTCATTACTACTCTTAGAATCTGTAACTGATTTAAAGAATACATGTCTTGCTGCCGTTCTTTCTGTTTACCAAGTGTCAGGGGTTACATAAAATCTTATTTAGATGCCAGATATTTATGGTGGTTTTTGTCATTTATTGAATTCATCCGTTTTCGGAATGCTTTTGAAAAACTTTCCTTTTCATACTTGACCCTTTCCTTGTAGATCTAAAAGAAAATGAGCACCGATCGGACATGCAATGGCTCCTTCTGGACTAAGGAGGAGGATAAAATCTTTGAGAATACCCTGGCGGTCTACTCTAGTGATGATGATCTATTGATGATGATGGCAGCAGCACTTCCTGGGAAATCACTTGAAGATATAAAAAATCACTATGAGGTATTAGTTGAGGATGTGAATGCGATTGAGTCTGGACTTGTTCCTTTACCTCGATATCGGAATATGCAAAGCCATTCCCTCAATAAAAGTAGATTACCAAAAGCAGATGTAGAACGGCGAAAAGGGGTTGCTTGGACAGAAGAGGAACACAAGTGCGTTTCCTGTACATTTCTTAAGGACAATATTAATCATCTGAATTGATGTTTACTGGATACTATAATCATGTCTTGCTAATTGATTGCATGACTTTCACTTTTTACTAGAAAGGATTTCAAAATTTCCTTACATTTCTCAAGGACCATGATCGGTGTGCTTCTAATCATCTAAATGGGTGATTATTGCATTTCTATAGTTATGTCCTGCCTGATAGCTTATTGAATTTCTTATTTTCCCTGAAAAGAATTTTAAAATTGCCTCCAGGACATGTCTGCTACAAAATGCTTGTTTCTTGTTTGTGTTTGTTGAGCATAATTTTTTGCATCGATAATTAACAAAAGAACCATGAGCTTTCTGTAACTTTAGTGAAAGCCACTTATGGAAAAAAAAGAAAATGGTAACATATTTTTTATGTGTGATATTGTGGGGGAAAAATGAAATAAACATAATTATTCATAAAAAAATAAACGCTTGGTCTTTTTTTTTTTTTTTTTTTTTTTTTTTTTTTTTGGAATTCATTCATTTTCTTGTTTTTAAGGTTTTCCCCTAAGAGATTTCTTTATAAAGTACTTATTTTTCATTTTGAGTGTTTATCCCTTTTTAAAAATAAGTAAATTTTATCCTTTTCTTCGACGAGTGGAGTACTACTCCATATAGATCTTGCAACATAAGTTGCACCGTTGTATATATATTTGGCGCTTATAACCAGATGAATGCTTTACTGCAGATGGACAAGCTAATGAACACATCATAAAGGTTTCAGTCTGCCTCTGGCTTATGCTGGAAATACTTGTGGAATTTGTTGCTTGACAAACAGTGATGTGAAAAATACATGTATTTAACCCAATTAGACTAAATCTTTTAATTAGTAAAAATCATTTTTTTGGTAGTCTATTCAATGTGCTAATACTTTCTTAGCACCTCTTGAATTTTGAATATCTCGTAAGAGTAGCATGCTGCAAACACATTACATGATCCATGGAAATAGTGTAGGGCAAAAACATGTTTTGGAATAATGTTCTAGTTTGTGTTTTCTTTTCTTCTCTCTTTTTTGGGTGCTGGGGCTTTAATCAGAAAGAATTTAGTGGACCCTAGTTTTCCTCAACGCGGTAACTAAGCTGCCAACCTCAACCCCCCCAGGGCTTCTTCCCATAGCTAAAAGCACCATTACTAAGAATATGTTGGAAAATATTGGCCGATTTGATTATTGGTATTAAGTATTTTTATGGACATGTCTTGTTTGTTAGTTTTCTTGTTTTCTTATCTTTATCTTTTTGCTTTTTGAGTAAGAAATCACTTTTAAGACATCACTCCTAAGAATAGCCTATTTCAATTTTGTAAAGCCAAATGACAGATGTAGTTGAAGTGAGCGCATATAGAGAAGAGGCAAAAGCAAGTGGGCAGGGAAAATTAAGCAAATGTTGAAATCATATATCCTACGGATGACATTTGTTATCCCCTGATTCTAGGTCCCTTGCTCTTTCTCGGTCAAAAAAAGAAAAAAACGAATTGTGATTTAATTTAGGGGTGGGCAGTAGGGAGAGAGCTGTTGTTAGTTTTGATTATTGTTATCTATGATGTTATACAGTGCATGCAGATGGCAGTAAGTATGCCTATGGAATCATACCTATTCTTCACTGGAATTTATAAGATGTATTGCGCTTTTTGCTGATTGAAAGAATGTTAAACTTTTAAGACTGTCTTGCGATTTTGTTTCCTGGATTAATTTTTTTTTTGATGAAGTTTTGTTTCCTGGATTAATGCAAAGCTGATAACTTCTTTCTCTCTTTCCTGCTATAGGTTGTTTCTTAAGGGGTTAGATAAATATGGAAAGGGTGATTGGAAAAGTATATCCAGGCACTGTGTGCTATCTAGAACACCGCAACAGGTGGCTAGCCATGCCCAAAAGTTTTTCAATCGCCGCGAAGGCGTCAACAAAGAGAGGAGAAGAGCAAGCATTCACGACATAACTAGTGTGGATATTGAAACTGCTGGAACTTCCCAAGTACCAAACCCCGAGAACATGATTGGACCTGCTGGAGGAGGATCACAAGTGACGGCAAGCACTAACGATATGACTGGAGCTGTTGACAGCGGGGTGGTATCAACTGGTGTTGGCACGTTTACCTCCCCAATTGCTGCCATAGAAAATAAGAGCATGTTGCCCCAGGAAATCACAATTGCTGAGCCGGAGATAGCAGTTTCTGGAGGAGAGTCCTCAGGCCCTGGTGCTGCATTTGTCAATGAAGTGAGTCGTCTGTACCATGATGTGACTGATGACTTCATATTAGGTATAGATGACCTAATCGTGGAGCAGGAGGTCACTTATGAAGCTGGGATTCAGGTTGACACTGAAAGATCCCTATTACCCAGCCAACAACCATCTACTGCTGCTGGCAATGAAATCTACGGTCATCCTGTCACTAGAATTGGGAGTGAACTAGAAGCGTTAATCACTGAGCATATGGTCGAAGACAACGAAATCAGTTCTATTTTTGACGTTGGAAAAACACCATCATCTCATGCAATGCTGTCCAGCACTGCTCATAGTGGAATGTCCAGTTATACAGTTGCTGCTCACAGTGGAATGCCCAGTTATACAGTTGCTGCTCACAGTGGAATGTCCAGTTATACAGTTGGTAGCTTCGGTTCTAACAATGCACCTGAGAACAGGGTGGCTGCTCCAGGGGGAGGTTTAACCATTGACTCTCAGCAATTACCTTCCATTGCGCCCTCATCTAACTTTAGTGTTGGAGTGTGCCCCAACTCAAACACCAGCGTTCGCGATGAGGGCATCTTTTATCTGGGTGACCTGTTCACAGATCATATGATCTGAGTTGGCTAAGTGGAATAGAGGTTGTTAATGTTGATACTGTACTTGGTTTTTTGAAGACTTATTCCATTAGACTAAAATGAGGGTGATATTGTCTAGCATAATATTTATACTGTGGACGCATTATTCTGCAGTTTGGCGCTACTTGGTATTTTGAAGACTTATTCCATTAGACTAAAATGAGGGTGATATTGTCTAGCATAATATTTTATACTGTGGACTGCGCTAGTGTTTCCTCTTAAATTTCCAATGACTTCTTTATCTCCAATTCTATTAGGAGTATCAATTAGAGAGAATTACGTCCTAATTTTTTCCCTTAACATATTTCACAAAAATCAAATCTTGTTTCACATAATATTTGGTGCTTTTCTTGTGACTAGTTTAAAGAGAAATGGAGGGGAGTACAGAATCTTGCATAGTTTTGCTGCAGTACTTTAGGAGGAAGGATTTCGTCCATCTTTAACCTCTTATAAGGGACTAAGGTGGCTTTTGGTTGATACTTCCTAAAAAATGAGTTTGCAATATTTTTGATCGAGTTCTTGCCTACAAGCCCACTGACTCATTGATTACCTAGTTTATTGTAGTTTATATCTGTATTCTCATAAAATTGTTATGCTGGAGATTTGAACTTTTGAAAGGCTCCATTGAAATGGCCACGGCTACCTTAGGATCATAAAACAAATCTAATGCTATAAGGAGTCGAAGACCAAACTGGTTCTACTGCCACCTCGGGGGTATGGTGATTTATTGAGTATCGTTCATTCTTAACCAGAGGTCTCAACTTGTAAAATGGAGAACTTTTCGATAGAAACGCTTAACCCCTTAGTAGCTTATCAGACACAAATCGCAATTAGCCTGGGCAGGGGGCTTCAGAAAACGGGTGGTTAAACCCAAAAATCAAAATTCACTAGCCATATTCCCGATCGTCAAAATAATACATCAACTTTGTCATCTTCACCTCTCTTTTCACCCCCCTTTGAACTACGCATGATAAGCAGTGTAAGACACTTCAATACAATTAAACGTGTCAAACATGACCAACGGAGCAGCTAACTCTAGCATTTCGGGTTCAAATACTTTCGCAAGCTAATATCATAGAGGGATACTAAAAGACATATAATGGCATCTAAAGAACTATAACAGTTTGTGTTCTTAGCCACAGAGCATGCCTGAAGTTTCAATTTGACAGTTGCACTAAAGTTCCTCAACTAAACTGACGTTTGATCCACCCCAATCTTGGCAACATAAGCAAAAATATGTCTCACCACAATATTCCGCCCCTATTTGTGATAACTGAGATGGCTTCTGGAAACACCAAAAGAAAGAAAACAAAGAGTGTTATTCCTAAAAATATGAGCTGATCTCATAAAGCAAGACAGAGAAATTAAATACAAGGATAACATACGATCAACAAGAAACTCGAGCCCAGGTCCACTTGACATGTTGCAGAGTTAGCAGAAACGTGGTAGTCAGCTTCTACCATCAAAGAAAGTGAACTAGTTAAAATACTTTTAAGCAACATTCATATGAACTAATCAAACTAATAAATACGAGATTGTGACCAACCAAGAGCTATGTGAAATTAAACAAAATCTATTTTTTTTTAAAAAATGGAAACCTTGTTATATATAGTGCTAATTACTCAAAATGATACATAATATCAATGGATAGTTTTATAGAATTACCTGAAAATAGAAGACTTTGAGGGGGTTCCGGGAATGGCGATTAGGGCTTTTTTTTCTCGGAGGAAAGAGAACCACGAAGTTGTAAAGAAATTGAAGGTTGAATGTAGGTCACCTGTGCTAAAAATCAAACAAAATTAGTCGACATTACTTCATTCGCCGTCGAAAATGGCGGAATACATCGGAGGGGGCGGCGAAGGGTTCTGATCAAGACTGTAAGCCAAAAAGACGAGCGGATAGTGTGTTCGTATTACTTGCTGTATTTCTAACGCAAGGAATACATTTGCATGCACAAATCCCACTTGAATTGCGGTTTATAGGTCCATTTAACAAATGCAATTGCTAAATGCGTTTTATAAGTCTCATTTAGGGATGGAAATTGGGGCGGGGTAGGGCGGGGCGGGGGAGGGCAAACTCCTAATAGGGAAGGACAGGGAGACATTTAAATGGAGCGGGGCAGGGCAAAATCTAATTTTTTTTAAAAATGGAAACCTTGTTATATATAGTGCTCATTACTCAAAATAATACATAATATCAATGGATTATTTTATAGAATTACCTGAAAATAGAAGACTTTAAGGGGGTTCCTGGAATGGCGATTAGGGCTTTTTTTTTCCTTGACGAAAGAGAACCACGAAGTACTGAAGAAATTGGAGGTTAAATGTAGGTCACATGTGCTAAAAATCAAACGAAATTAGCCGACATTACTTCGTTCACCATCGAAAATGGCGGAATACATCGGAGGAGGCAGCGAAGGGTTTTGATCAAGACTGTAAGCCAAAATAATGAGCGAATAGTGTGTTCGTATTATTGACTGTATTTCTAACGCAAGGAATACATTTGCATGCACAAGTCCCACTTGAATTGCGGTTTATAGGTCCATTTAGGTAATGCAATTACTAAATGTGTTTTATAAGTCTAATTTAGGGATGTCAATTAGGGTGGGGTAGGTGGAGGCGGGGCAGGACAAACTCTTAATAGGGCAGGGCAGTGAGACATTAAAATAGGGCGGGGCATGGAAAAATCTATTTTAAAAAAAAATGAAAACCTTGTTATATATAGTGCTCATTACTCAAAGTGATACATAATATCAATGGATTTTTTTTATATACTTACCTGAAAATAAAAGACTTTGAGGGGGTTCGAGGAATGGCGATTAGGGCTTTTTTTTCTCGGACGGATGAAAACCATGAAGCTGTGAAGAAATTGGAGGTTGAATGTAGGTCACCTCTGCTAAAAATCAAACGAAATTAGCCGATATTACTTCATTCGCACAATACATCGGAAGGTTCTGATCAACACTGTAAGCCAAAAAGATGAGCGGATACTATGTTCGTATTACCGACTGTATTTCTAACGCAAGTATTACATTTGCATGCACAAGTCCCACTTGAATTGCGATTTATAGGTCCATTTAGCAAATGCAATTGCTAAATGCGTTTTATAAGTCTAATTTAGGGATGGCAATTGGGGCGGGGTAGGGCGGGGCGAGGCAGATCAAACTCCTAATAGGGCAGGGCAGCGAGACATTTAAATGTGGTGGGGAAGGGCAAAATTTAATTTTTTTAAAAAAATAGAAACCTTGTTATATATAGTGCTCATTACTCAAAATGATACATAATATCAATGGATTGTTTTATAGAATTACTTGAAAATAGAAGACTTTGAGGGGGTTTTGGCGATTAGGGTTTTTTTTATCGGACGAAAGAGAACCACGAAGCTGTGAAGAAATTGGAGGTTGAATATAGGTCATATGTGCCAAAAATCAAACGAAATGAGCCGACATTTCTTCATTCGCCGTTGAAAATGACGAAATACACCAGAAGGGGCGACAAAGTATTCTGATCAAGACTGTATGCCAAAAAGAAGAGTGGATAATGGTCCGTATTACCTGCTGTATTTCTAACGCATAGAATACATTTACATGCACAAGTCCAACTTGAATTGCAGTTTATAGGTCCATTTAACAAATGCAATTGCTAAATGCGTTTTATAAGTCTCATTTAAGGATGGCAAATAGGGCGGGGTAGGGCGGGGCGGGGCAAACACCTAATACGGTAGGGCAGGGAGACATTTAAATGGGACGGGGCAGGGCAAAATCTATTTTTTAAAAATGGAAACCTTGTTATATATAGTGCTCATTACTCAAAATCATACATTATATCAACGGATAATTTTATAGAATTACCTGAAAAGAGAAGACTTTGAGAGGGTTACGAGAATGGCAATTAGGGCTTTTGTTTTTCAGACGAAAGAGAACCACGAAGCTGTGAAGAAATTGGAGGTTGAATGTAGGTCACATGTGCTAAAAATCAAACAAAATTAGCCGACATTACTTCATTCGATGTTGAAAATGGCGGAATACATAAGAGGGGACGACCCAGGGTTCTGATAAAGACTGTAAGCCAAAATGATGATTGGAAAATGTGTTCGTATTATCGGTTGTATTTCTAATGCAAGGAATACATTTGCATGCACAAGTCCTACATGAATTGCAGTTTATAGGTCCATTTAGCAAATGCAATTGCTAAATACGTTTTATAAGTCTCATTTAGAGATGGCAATTGGGGCGGGGTAGGGCGGGGCGGGGCCGGGCTAACACCTAATAGGGCAGGGCAGGGAGACATTTAATTGGGGCGAGGCAGAGAATGGCAGGACGGGGCAAAATCTATTTAAAAAAAAATGGAAACCTTGTTATATATATAACTCATTATTCAAAGTGATACATAATATCAATGAATTTTTTTTTATAGATTTACCTAAAAATAAAAGACTTTGAGGGGTTCCAGAAATGGCGATTAGGGCTTTTTTCTTTCTCGGACGAAAAAGAACCACGAAGTACTGAAGAAATTGGAGGTTGAATGTAGGTCACCTGTGCTAAAAATCAAATGAAATTAGCCGACATTACTTCATTTGCCGTCGAAAATGGCAGAATACATCAGAGGGGGCGGCGAAGGGTTCTGATCAAGACTGTAAGCCAAAATAATGAGCGAATAGTGTATTCGTATTATCGGCTACATTTCTAATGCAAGGAATACACTTGCATGCACAAGTCCCATTTGAATTACGGTTTATAGGTCCATTTAGCTAATGCAATTGCTAAATGCGTTTTATAAGTCTCATTTAGGGATGTAAATTAGGGCGGGGTAGGTCGAGGCGGGGCATGGCAAACTCTTAATAGGGCAGGGCAGGGAGACATTTAAATAGGGCGGGGTAGGGAAAAATCTATTTTTTTAAAAAATGGAAACCTTGTTATATATAGTGCTCATTACTCAAAGTGATACATAATATCAATGGATTTTTTTATATACTTACCTGAAAATAAAAGACTTTGAGGGGGTTCGAGGAATGACGATTAGAGCTTTTTTTTCTCGGACGGAAGTGAACCACGAAGCTGTGAAGAAATTGGAGGTTGAATGTAGGTCACCTGTGCTAAAAATCAAACGAAATTAGCCGAAATTACTTCATTCGCACAA